GGCTGCCAAGCTCAAGGAGCTCAAGGCCAAGGCTGCCAAGGGCGGCCCCCTGGCCACCGGTGGCATCAAGAAGTCGGGCAAGAAGTAAATACCGGTTGTCTAAAGGTTTTGGAATATATATCGAAAATTGTCTATTCTTTGGTTTCCGAATTCGCCTTTCCCTGCTCGAATCCCTTGCGCCGCTGCTCCTTGCCCTTCAGAACTTTTCCTTGGCCGGATCCTTCGTGTCGTAAGAGAACTTTCTAGAGTCGAGCTCCAGCGTTACCGGTCCGTCGTTGACCAGGCTGACCTGCATCATTGCGCCAAACTCCCCGGTAGATACCTTGGACGGATCGTACAACTGCCCGACCGCTTGACAAAGTCGTCAAAAAACTGCTTTGACTCTGCAGACTCATGGCCTCGTGGAAGTCGGGCTTGTGCCCTTTGTTGTCTTGCCGTACAATGTAAATTGGGATACTAGCAGGACACCCAGACCTTCGTCCTGCACACTGCGTTTCCACATGGCACCCTCTGCGTCGTCGAATACCCGCATATTCAGGATCTTCTTGGCCATGTACTCCTCATTCTTCCTTGGTGTCGTGCTGGCTGATGCCAACTAGAACCGTGATACCGCGGCCGATCTCACCGACCACACGATCGTCGACACTGACGCTAGCTCGCAGAACCTTTTGGAGGACAGCGCGCATTGTAAATTACTGAATTCGAGAAATGTAATTGGAAGCCAGCGGGAGAGAGGTAGGGAAAAGTGCGCTGCTGGATGGCTCCAAGATATCAGAGATCGGTGGCTCTGCCAATCTCTGCATCTCATTGAGCGCTGGTGCCACATCGCCCTCGCTGGCAAGGCGCTTCAGCTTCTCAATGGACTTTAGCCGCCCGCCCCACATAATCGGTACCTTGTTCATGTACTGCTGCAGCTGTGGAACGATCTGGCTGTGGTGCAGGTCCGTCCGTGGGCTCGCTGTGGTAGATGGCGCTTGCCGTTCGATCTCGTCGTACGACGAACTCATCAGCATAAAGAACTTGCTCCACGCCTCCACCTGCAACTAGAGTCGTATCACACTTGCATGCCTTCCTCACAATCTCATGGTGTTTGTGCCTCCTCACGCATCTCATCCTCCAGCGCCTTTTCGGATGCATCAGCCAGCGCCGTAGCTGACTCGTAGTCCGCTGTAAGCCTGTCTAGGACTGCCACAACGACCTTGGAGCCCAACTCACTCCTGTTGTCCTCCTACAAGTTTCGCAGCCTGGTAGATCACAAATAGCACCAAGCCCTTGAACAGCGGTGCACCCAGTTCCCGCTCTCCCAGGAGTGTTCCTGGGTTCTCAATAATCTTGAGGCAATTTAACATCGACGGTCACTGGCCGAATGTGCTTCGCCCACCGCTGGTCGTAGTTCATGAGCTCTTGTGCCTGGTTGCACAGCTCCTGCACTGCCTGCAGCCTAGCGACTTCATCTCCGTAATGGGCACCAGCTAGACACTCGATTTTCTTCGTTTGCGCTTCCACCAGGAAGAGCAGTCTCTTGACCTTGAAGTGGTCCATCCAGCCCCTGGAACTGTGTTAGCAACCTCTGCAATCCGCTTTCAATCATCGCACTATAAAACTCGGCCACCTGGGTAGCAATCCTCACAACATTTTGCATCCTTCATGTGCGCCAGGACCGAGCGCTGCCACACGCACTCTTGCGTCTGGCAGAGCATCAGGTTCTCGAGCGTGGTCAGATTCCACGAGATCAGGTCAATGGTCAGCTGTGTATGGCATTCGCTGATTAGGACAGACAGATAAAATATCCTCAGAGTGACAAGACCAAGAAGAGAAGTGTAGGTCTAGAACATGCTGAAGGTGAAATGTGAAGCTGTTGATTGGTGTAGCTGCTTGGTGCCGGTGCTGGTTAAATATTGGGTGATTGACCTTCGGTCGTTGCCTACATATCCAAGAGAGCTTTCTCAACTGCATATCTACAAAAATATCATGTGGAACTACTGCCGCTAAGTGCTTAGCCAGAAGCAGCCCATCAACCGCCATATCTTGCCTCTATCAAGCCAATGTATTGATCAATCATATATCTGTATCTAAATGTGCACTAGCATATTATTCAGGGACGGGTTGTTCCTGTAGCAAGCACAGTGAATTTAATATGGATGGGTTTATTTCAGTGAAGCTACTCTTGTTTTCTAATGGATTTGGAAACAATGTATGGAACAGGGGACAACCCTGCCATATCAAGCCCAGTATTGCCAGCAGCATTTCCAGATGCCTTGATTCCGCTCATCTCACAGTGCCTAATAAGCTTCTTGGGAAGCGTCTGCGTCTTCTGCAGAACGTCAGGGGCTTCAACGAACGTCATGAGCATCCGCAGACTCTCAGGGCTGCCGTGGACATTGACATGGCAGTGGTACAACCAGACACCTGGGTTGTCAGCGCGGAACCTGATTTTTACGTACGAGAATGACGGAATTTGTATAACGTCACGCTGGATCGGGGGCAACAAGCGACTGTACAAGCGGAGAGAATGTGTTACCAGATGTGAAGCCATCTAGCGACGGACCATACTCGGTGACCTGGAACGCATGGCCATGCAGATGCATAGGATGATGAAATCTGTTTGGGTTATGAACTTCCAAGTTCGACAACCTCATTGTGCTTTAGCACCACTGGATGTGTCCGGTTATTGTAGACGTCAGGGTTCATTGCCAGGTCGCCAGTGGTCATTGCGGTGAACAGGGAGGGAACCAGCGGTGCGTAGTATGTGATATTGTTGATGTGGTCCAGGCGCTGACCTGTGGATAAGAGGTTGTTACCAAGCCACAGATACAGCGAGCGGTCTACTGGCAGTGGCGGCTGCTTATCGAGTGCTGTCATTTTGATATCCTCGACCCATATCAGCTTGCTATCATCAATGTCAGGGAGCTCTTTGACCGGCGAATCCTGCTTGTACTCAACTAGACCTGAGTAAAACCGCGGGTTCTCACCTGGTGACGTTGGAATAAAGTCTGCGTACATCTTGACCTTATAGTAGTAGTTGAGCTCGTCCGAGTCATGTGCAGTGACCAGAACCGAGTAGCGCATGGCAGGTGCCAGCTGCACGCCATCAAACTATATGTTCGTCGCTCAGAATCCCATCGACTTCAATAACGCGCAGCTTGTGGCCGGGGATCTGGAAGTAGTACCAGTAGGTGCTAGACATATTAATAAGGCGGATGCGGTACGTCTTCTTCGGCTCAAACTTGATTGGTTTCGTGGTGTTGCCGTTGTAGCCGTTAATCAGGCCAAACCCGACGGTATGCGGCGGTGGATATGGCATTGTTGGACTAGAAACCAGCTCAGCACGCTCGGTAAATTTTCCTACAAACCAGTCCTCAAAAGTAAACAGATGCTCTGCATCGTACTTGTACGGCGGCTCCTTGTCATAAATAACAAATGCAGTGCGCAGCCCGTCGGCGCTATGATCGTGGTCGTGGCCGTGGATCCAGAACGTGCCCGCCTGCTCGAGGTGATACTCATATGTGAACGACTCACCAGGCGGGATTCCGCACTGGTTAGTCATTGCCGGCCCGTCCATGTAAGACATGCCGCGCATGAACAGGCCGTGTGCATGGATCGTGGTGGTTACATTCAGCGAATTGTGCACGTTGAGGATGAGAGTGTCGCCGCGAGTTGCATATACAGGCGGGATTGGGGACTGGCCATTGACGCCAATCGACCGCCTGTAGTTGATTCCATCGCGCATCATGTAAACATAGGTGACATCCCAGTCAACCACAACATGCTTTGCCAGCGCAGTGGCCGAGAGGACTAGCAAAAATAGAGCGTGTAGTATCATGGAAATATTAAAATATGAAGGTACGGGCAAAGGCCGATGGATGTAATGGAGACTGCATCCCCAGGAAGCTATTGCATTTATATTTCCCAAACATCACAACGAGACCATGCCACTAGTAGCAAGGGCTGGCTGGGCTTAATTCACTCATTTGAAGGATTGACTGGCTTGGCTCCAAAATATGCAAATGCCTCCTTGATTCCAAGCAGGTGGCGCCGCTGGAGGAGCGTCTGTGTACATATTCAAAAGTCAAAGCCATATATTTCGACGCAAGGCCCCACTCTACCTGATTTCCAAAGCCACTTTTGAAGATCAAAGGAGCCAAATATTGTAAACAACACACCCATGAATCCACTGCTGCCTGGGATTTTGATGAATCCGCTCCTCTGCGCGTAGCGACAGAATCGACATGGGGATTTCTGGTGGGGGCCATCTGCACCCGTCATCTACATAGTGACTACGGTGTATTATAGATGAAAATACATTGTTAGAGTATCACAGAAACTTTTGCGAAGAAAAGTGCTGTGAAGAAAACGATTCTGTCGCCTGTTGGTCGCCTATTTCGTCCCTTGAAGTTTGAAATAGAGTGTTGCTAGGCATTTCCACACAGGATACACCGGCTTGTTTCCCTCAATATGAAATAATGGTCATCGCCTAAACATGCACCTATGAAATATATCCTTAGAAATATATTCTGGCAGAATATCGCCACGATGCTTTGCTGATGGATGTAACCTCGTAAAACAGCTTAGAACCATGTTCTATGAGAATACATAGCATTTTTAAGAACAAGAGATGTGCTAGTTTGCTCACGTCATTGCTATTTGTTGTTACACTACACCTAGTATTATATGTGGACCCTCTACAATGTACCTATTTCGAGAACCTAGGGGTAATTGTACAAATGGCACAAACACTCGCCTCGTACAAAGGCTTAGCTGGAATGCAATATATTAGACAATGCGCTATTTGGCAACATATTTTGGATATGTGCCATGGTATAGTGGTTGCTCTTGCCAACAAATATGTTCCCATGCTATACTTTGCATTGCCTCTAATATAAATGGCTGAGAAACGATTCCGTATAGGAAATGATTCCACAAGCTTTTCCTTGCTTTTGAACTACTTTTACAACCTCATTATGAGCCAGTTTTTAACAGGCATTGACTCTAAGATCTACGACCTTACGAAGTATGATGTTCTTCTATCATCGTACAACGTCTGCATCGTTTTCTTTTACGCCAACGATAACCTCACTAACAGTTTTATGCCATCTCAGGAGCTGGAAGATGCGTACTATAAGACGGTGTTGCAGTTTTCCCTGCTAGCTGGACAAATCAAGAAAAAGGGTGGCGGCATGTTGCAGGTTGTAGTCGACAAGTCAGACCTGAACCTGCCCGGCTATCGCGAATCCCAGTCAGACACGCATTTCAGCGACATCAAATCAGCGGATTTCAACCCGACAACCTGGCCTAGTGACCTGGCACCTGTTGGCAATACTGCATATCCTGATAGGAACACAGGTGTGATCAAGCTTCTCAATACCCATGTGGTACGGCTAAAGGACAACAGCGGTATAATTATTTCATTCAACACCAACCATGTGGCTACCGATGCCTTTGGCAGTCTTGAGTTTTTCAACCAGTGGGCAGCAGAAACACGTGCGTTGGTTACCGGTGTCCATGCAGAGAAGGCCAGCTACTGCTTTGACCGGGAGGCAATTCAGAAACATCTTCCCAGCAAGCGCCTGCCACTTGACGACACAACACTCCGTGCTTACACCATAAAGTCCCGTATTGCAGACTGGCTTTTGGGGCTCTCGCCTAACTCCCGCGCAAAGCTCCTGAACTACCTTGGGAACAGGAATCCAACGCGTGGCCATCTGTTCCGTATTTCACGCGAGAAATTCGACCATCTTCATAGCCGAGTTCTGGAGTGCATGCCGCCCGGTGTGCGGCTTACTTCCAACGACCTTCTATCTGCAATAGCATACAAGGTCCATGGGCAGGCAAAGCTTGACGCAGATGTAGCCAACATCGGATGGCTTAGACGGCTTACGAATCGCAGTGTGAATGCTAAAGGAGAGCACGGTCTATCAGTCGCCTGTGACCTTCGTGGCCTTCTTGGAATGTCAAATACGAATTATATCGGCAATCCACTGTTCACTGCGATCGTTAATAACCAGATGAGCCACGCAGAGCAACCGATCACTCCTCAGACGCTTGCGGAGATAGGTGCCCAAGTTCGTAGGTCGCTGTCAAATGTATCACCCCCGTTCATCGGCTCGTTCATCGACTTTGTTGAATCTGATAGTTTCAAGGCTGGGTCCTTCATTGCGAGTGCAATGAAGAGCGCTCTTATCACATTGACTTCCAACGTTACGAGGGCCAAGCTGTACCACGCGGATTTCGGCAGCGGCGTTCAAGCGTTTTCAACGGTGTACCCAAATTACCGAGCAGTGCAATATGTCATATTGCCAGCACCACCGCCAAGCAAGGACATCCTTGTCAACTTTACTGTATCTGCCTCCGAGATGGAGTTTATCCTTAAGAACGAATTCTGGAGGGACATCACCACTTTGGTTTACTGATAGATGTCTAACAGCAATCTTGTGTAGTGTCAGAAATATAGCCGGATAGTGGCAATCGCCCGTGTTTGCATTCTCGGTGTCCTTCGACCGTTCCGAGTCAGCTCTTTATCTGCGGACCTGGCCGCATGAAGGCCCGCAATGATTCTCCGCAATACCACCCGGGGCCGATTTCCGCTGGCAGGTTTCGCCCGAATAGGGTTTCAAGGGCACGGAGAAACCCCAGAGTCAAACAAGAGACATATGGCCTGGGGGCGAAGATTCACGTCGCAGAAGAGCACCTGTGGGATACAGTGATTTGTCACTGGTGCTGAGGCAGAGTCGGCCGACCCGGCGACATGCGTGGCAGACAATGGAGGCGAGCCGGACATTAACGGAACGCCTAGAACGTCTTGCATGGAGATGTGGGCGAGCGAAAGTCGTGCATGCGGGGCGTGCATGTCTCTGTGCCAGCCCACACGTATCCAAAGTGTCAGCAAACTCGCCAGCAGTATAGTGGGCAAGGTCAAAAAAGGGCGATGCACGGGCCATGTAAATCTCCTATTCCTTGACCGCACGCTTGCAGGCGGATTCACAGTGACACTGTCGAACTGCGAATCTCTCCCCAAGGATTGGCAATTGGGGAAGCCACAACAGACCGGAATGCTTCGGCACTTTTTCTATGGAGCAGCGGTTCCTAGTTTATTAATGTAGTCAGCCAGCAAAGGAACGGGTTTTCTGACGCAGGGAAGATAAGGCGGTACAGATTACTGGGCCGAGGACGACTGGCGGCCAGCAGTGGTGGTGGGGGCAACAGCAGCGGATCTGCCGGTCAGGCGGCGCCTGATTTCAGACAGCACGGCCGAAGCCTCCTTGCGGATGGACGAGGCAACAGCCGAGTTCTCCTGGGCGCGGCGGATCAGGTACGGCATGACCTCCTCGAGCGGACCATAGGGCACGTACTTGTAGATGGGCAGACCGGCCTTGGCGATGGCGTAGCTGACCGCGTCCTGCATGCCGAGCAGCTGGCCAAACATGACGGGCTCGTTGGTGGTGTCGATGTTGAGCTGGCGCAGCTGCTGCATGCCCATCTCGATAGACGCGTTGTTGTGGGTGGCAGCAAACAGGACCGGTGGCACGGCGCCGGCAGCCTGGGCGGTGGCAACCTCCTGCATCAGGAAGTTGACGCCCTTGTTGTACGACGCATGCGTGGCCTCCAGCGTCGGGTTGATGGGCGACGCGTAGCCGAGCTTGGCAGCGCGCTCGCGCTCCAGCTCCATGTACGCACCGCGCACCAGCTTGGCTGCGAAGCGCCAGCCCTCGCGCGCGGCGCGCTCATAGTCGTCGACCATGCGCTGGAACGAGTCTGCGCGGTACATCTGGTACGTGTTGAAGATCAGCGCACGGCCACCGTGCTGGGTCTGTGCGTTGAACTCGCGCTGCAGCACCAGCGCGACGTGGTCGATCAGCGGCTGGAAGTACGAGTGCTCGGCGTCCACCATGATCCGCACATTGCTGTCGCTGGCCTGCTGGGCCACAGCACGCGAGCGCGAGATCATGCGCTCGTAGTCCTCAAAGTCGGTCTCGACGGCGCCGTACTCGCTGGTGGGCGAAGCGCGCAGGTAAAGCGGCCGTGCCAGCGGGTTGTCCAGGCCCAGCGCCATCTGCAGATCAACCCAGTCGACCTGGCCGTCGTTGTTGGTGTCGACCATCGAGAACATGCCGCTGGCCGACGACACGCGGTCACCGCCGGGCATCGACGGCAGCACCGCCTGCTTGAACTGCGTGAAGTCGATGCGTCCGTCGCTGTCGTGGTCGGCTGCGACAAAGGCCTCGCGCATGGGCCGGTACGGCATTGACAGGCGGTACAGCACCTCGGGGTCGGCCAGGCCAGTCACCTTGATGGCCGCAAACGACCCCGGCACCTGCTCCGACATGTGCAGGCCGTGCAGGTACTCCTTGGCGAAGGCGTCCGCCTTGACGTTGGCGTGGGCACGCGCAGTGTCGGCAGCGCCTGCAACGGCCGCGGTGGCATCCCGATCCTCAGCCAGATCCGCCTCAGCGGAAAAGTCCAGAATCGACCCGACTCCCGACTCCTTCAGGCCGCGCATGGCCTGCACAATCTCCTTCTCCTTCTCGCCGGCGCAGAACCACGCGAAGAAAGTGCGCCGCATTACCGCGTTCGAGAGCCACGAGAGACGCAGCTTCTCAAACAGCTTGAGGATCCCCGGTGCCATCTGCACCAGCTGCGGGCTGCCACAAGCCATGTAGACAAACCACAGCGGGATCAGCTTCGCCACGCTCTGCTTGCTCAGAGCGTGCGCCGGGTCCGGGCGCAGAAGCGGCCCGGCAAGGGGGTCCGTGGTTGCAGAGGCGGCGTGCGTAGCCGCTGGCGCGCGCGACTCGAGAGTCGACATGCCTCTGCAGGGAGCCACGGACATTGCGGCCTTGAACGTGCTGCGCGGGCTCAGGGAACCCGGCGGATACGTCGCGGGTGCTCCTGCATGTCGAGCGACAAGGGCTGCTGGACCCGAGGCACGACGAGTATGTATGAAAGCGAGGCGTGTAGGATGGACATAGGCGGCAGTGAGGGGCCGTTTGAGAGATGCAGCAGAAGATGCACGGATAATAGCAGATGCAGTCGATGGAACGCTGATGGGCATTGAACTCGAGCAGGGATTGGTTTACAGCGTGGTTGGTTTTATAGAGCTATGTAGTTGAGCGAATGTCCCAGGAATAAAACGTGACAGAGGTGTCTCCTGAGGATTATACAGACGAGGTCTTGTGTAAAAATACGAAAAAAGTGTACTGGATGTTCCAAAAGTGCAGAAAAGTAAAGGCAAGAAGAAAGTATTGTCAACGGGCGGGAGAGCGGGAATGGGAGGCAGCTCCCTTAAATATCTCAGCGACAAGCCCCAGCCTGGTCTCTGCCACCAATCTTAACCATGCGCACTTTCCCAAATGCCCTTCCCATCCGCGCATTTTTCTTTGGCCCGTATTCCTAACGCCCGTGGGTAATTTTTTGTCCATTTTTTGTCCATTTTTTGTCCATTTTTCAGCGGAGGGACAGGCCCTTTTTGACTAGCTGCTTTGCCCATTTTGCCATCCCAGTCAAATGTCCGTCCATCCTGTCGATCGCCATACCCGGAATTGGTGCTGGGTGTACCATTTCGCTCTGTTATCAGAATGGCCACTGGAAGCCACCACTGTGTATCCAGTCCTTGGACGGTGGAACATCTGCCCAGTCACAGTCAGAATAACACACGCTTGTGCGCCCATGTCGCCAGCCATGTCGCGGAAATAGCGGGTGGCATTCCACCACCCGAGCCTACCAAAAAAAAAAAAAACTTTTCTTCAAACACGCGATGTGCGTGCCCAAACTGACTAGCTGCTCACGAGGTCAGTTGCAGCGAAAAACAAGAGCTATAAACCCGGGCACGCTTTGTTGGGGATGAGGGAAAAGACGTGCATGCCCCTCGGAGCGCAGCAGACACGCAGGCCGGGAATGCACCACCATGCACAGTGTATTTGTTGGACTACAGCAGATATGCATGCACGATCGGGACGCAGCAAACAAACACATCCTGGCGGAGTATCTGGGGGAGGGGCTCTGGTATCCCCGGGCCAAGCGTTATCGATCGGCCGAGGAACCAGCATGTCTCGGAATTCTCCCAGGAGTCAAGAACAATAACAGCCACCACAGATTGCCTAGTTTGTCTATTTTAGCTCTGTTATTTCTCTCACCTCTGCTATTTCTGTCCTCCCTGCTAATGCGCCTCGCTATAATCTCCCTCACCTATCTGCTCCTCGCTGTTGCCGAGTCTCGCGGCGGATTCCGACGTGGACCAGGAGCACATGGCCAGGCATTCCGCTTTTCACCTGACAGCTTTGGCTGCAAGCACTGTGTGTTGGTAGACGAATAGTGAATAAACATGGCTCCTGCAAACAGATCCTTCCCATGTGGTTCCAGTTCTCTAGACTGCCTGCGGACTGACGTTATGCAGTCACGGACAGCACATCACCAGGTGTTTTCTGTCAGCAGGGCATTATGCTATCTAGCCTGCCTTCCCTGGTATCACGCAGCCTGGTGGTGACCAAGTGATGTGGCAGCAATGATGCATGGAGATACAGAGTGTGATGCCACCGTGGACAACACACAGACAGCTGCGGACTGCGCTAGGACCCCGCGCACTGCCACATTGGTCGAGCGCATGTCACCGCTGTCTGACTGGGTTTCTGCAGTTCTTGGGATCTACAGTGTAGTAGAGTCAAGCCCATATGGATCACCGTTTATGGCCTACAGGGTAGTGCCAGCCCTGGCTCCCACGGGTGCGCTGTGAGAGAATTGCAAATATCCCCACTTCTTGTTACGTCCCGTATTTATGCGTCAGCTGCTCGCTGCCACTCTCGCCGTCCGCCGCCGCCTTCCGCTCGTCCGTTACTTCACCATGCCCGGCGATATCGAAGACACGCCCTGGAAGCGCATACACGAAGCTGCGCTTGCAAACGGCGACCGCACCTACACCGACCCAGCAACCGGCTACACAGTGTTTACAGAGCTGTCGCACCTTGACCGCGAGTACTGTTGCGGCAATGCATGCAGACACTGCCCGTACAACCAAGAGAATGTCGGAAAGCCCGAGCAGCTGAAGCAGCAGGCACGGGAAGCACGCCAGCGCAAAGCAGCACGGAAGAAGAATAAATAGATTATTGAAGTATCCGAAAAAAAGCTCTACACTCATTGCTGCTGGACGGGCCGAACTGCAGATACAGTGACGACCTTGCCCAGGTTCTTTTTGCAGTGCGGGCACACATGGACAGACTTCTTCATGCGCTTCGACACGAACGGGATGAACGCCAGCGGCCAGAAAACGACCGCAATGGCCACGGCAGCAACCACCGTCTTGGTGCCGGTCTTTGTCTTGATCTGAGTAATAATCGGCAGATGGCAGTACGGACAGTTGAGCTGTGCCGGCGCCCCCTCAATCTCAATGTACGTGCCTGGGTCGAGCTTCATCTGCTGTCCGGGGATAGCCGGTTCCTGCGGCAGGTTCGCCTTGCTTTGGTACTGAGGCGGCTGCTCTGTGTGCCGGCTGCTGCTTGCCTGTGCACCGTACGGGTCGTTTGAGTACTGCCCAGGGGGGACAGGGCCCACGTCGCTGTACTGCGGGGGCTCCTGCCTGGCGGGTCCTGCCTGGCTGACGGGCTGGCTCTGGCTGCCGGGTCCATAGGGGCCCACAGGGCCTGCCTGCGTGTACGGTGGATACATATCCCTGCTTGTCTGGTAACCTTCGTTCTTTGTGTCGCCCGCCGGCGCATGGTGCTGCTGCTGAGCAGGAATTTCTTGGCCGTACTGGTTCAAGTACTGGCTCTGCTTCGCCTCGAGATCGGCCAGTCTTTGTTTCTCGTCCATGGAAAGTTGTTAATATAGTGAAAATGTGGCGGAGGTTGTTTGGAAAGCAAAGGAGAAAAAACAGCTGCCGAATGCGTCACGCTTTATGTGTGGATACACAGCGTGCTTTGGCGCAGCGCAGTCTTGGCTGTGGGGCTGGTGGGTATCAGGGAGCCCTTGGCTTGCATGCCAATCTAAAATTAGTCGGCTTGGCAGCCGCAAATCACCCGAAAGCGTAATCTGATCAGATGATTGCTCTTCTGCACGTGCCTGATGTCCAAAATCGGCAATTGGCCCACTGTGACACAACCACTTCACACATGGGGCAAGGTGCCTTCGCTCTTGTATGAATGTCTCTGCAACCTCGTGTCGTTGGGCATGGGATATTGCAGTGTCCACGCCAGCAGCAGAAAAGCAATTTTACGTGTGCGTTCACCGAGGGGCTTTCCGTGCACATTGGAGGCGCATTGTGGCCTCGGTGACAGGCAGTGCCGTTTAGCCAAAGTGGCACATCCGAGCGGCCATCATGGGGATTGTTCAATGTCCATGGGTTTATTTTGACCCGCCCTCCACCACCCCAAAAATGGAAATACGCAACGCACAATGCGAGTCACACACACGAGGTATAGGGCAGGGTGAATGGCTCGGACAAACAAAAATGCATCCCTTCTGAGAGGCCTAGAGCAAGAAAAAAAAGGAACACGAGCTGGGGACAATGCTGCGAAACAAGGGGCGGGCAAGGCACCATTTCCAGAGAATGGAATTAAGGTTCAGCACCGGCGGACAAGTTGCACTCCAACAGAAGCGGCTGGCTGCTTAAAGAAGGCGTTTTATTTGAAGATAGTAGGGCATAAAATTAGAAGAGGAAGTGAGTGCTGATGGTGAACAATGTGGAATAAAAAAGTATACACGGGGCGCTGGAGGTCGTTTCTAAACGAACAGGCTGCAAGGTGCTGCTGGGAAGGAGGGCATGGTGTTTTTTGGTTCATTTACCGTCGATTCGAAGCGAGTCCAGGCCAACAATAGGTGGCAGCCGCACGCGATTCTCACTACTGCCATGCATATCACTGCTCTGTGATGCAAGCATCTTGGACACCTCCTCATGGAACGAGTCCTTGAGTGGCAGCGTCACTCCACTGCATTTGCTTGCAGCCGGCCCGCAAGTAGCTTTCGCCTAGAGCCTCGGACAATGGGGGCAGCTGCATGCGCAAAACATCGCTCTTGAAGGCGCTAAGCGATGACATGTTTGGCATCGAGCTGGACGACATGCTGTAGACGTCGTCGCTGGTGCGTGGCGGCAGCGGCGGTGACATAAACGGCACCCCCGATGCATGCGGAATGGGCACGGACATAGGTGTATCGGTATATGGGTGAGACAGAGGCTTAGACAGTGGCTGAGCATTGCACACGTCCGCGCCGGCGATCTTGTGCTGCGAGTGGTCGAATTCGGATTGGGCGGATGCCGAGAGCGCTGCAGCACTCGCAGGGATTTGCACGCTCTTGACAGAATTATAGACGCCTGCAGCGTGTATTCCCGAGACATCCTCTTGCGAGCTGATGTACGGCGGCTGCTGGGCATGCAGAGGCGGCGACGCGAATGTCCTGCCATTTGTGTAGTGGTGTCCAGTCGAATATGGATCAGAGGATCCGCGCAGCGGCCGCGGCTGCCGCGCCACGCCTGGCGGCGACAGCGGGCTGCGTGGGTTCTGCGCATAGTACATGGGCGGCTCCACAGCCATGGGCCGTGCTGGCCGCACACGCACCGGCGTCGTGCTCGCCATGTAATCGCTGTACGACGAGAACATGTCGTGGTTATACCCACCCAGCCGGCCATGCAGCGGGTCGACTCTCAGCGGCCCTGCTGCAGGGCCACCATCGGCTGGCATCATATACTGCTGCGGTGGCGGCGGTGGCATGCCCACCATGCCAGGCGGCCCGCCGCCGTACGCGTACGCAGGGTAGCCGTGCGCCATGCCCCACGGGGACCGGCTCGCGAACGGAGCTGGCACATCCATGCCTGCCATCGCCCGAGGCCGAGGTCCGCGCTTGCGGTTCGATGGCTGGTAGATGCATGGCCAGTTGAACTTGGCACACGTCTTACATGATGGCCGCGCCCCGTCGCACTTGACCTTGCGCTGGCGGCATGTCGTACATGCCAGCGACAGCCGCTTGCGCACTGGCGCGGCCGCTGGGGCATCAGCAGTGTCCCCTCCTCGTTGCCGCTCGGAATCACGAGTGCTGCTTTCGGTAGTCTGCATTTATGGTGAGGGACTGCTATAGTGAAGAGCCTATGTCAATATAGGAGACACTAAGTATTTGTGACAAGAGCGAGCTGGTTATAAGAGAATGACTATAAACAATATTTTTTCTTTTTTTTGTTGGTCAGGGGAGCCAAAAAAAAAAAGCAAACCAAAAAGGTGGGAGCAGCTCAACGGGGTGCGAAAAAGGGTGCAAACCAAGAAGGTAGGGGATAGTTCAAGGGGCCGTGGTAATTGGTGCGGGAAGGAGACAGGTTCCTAAAAATTATCGGATACTCGATTGCACCCGAGGCAAATAAAAAGATGTGCGAGGATAGGCAGGAGGCAGTATTGAAGAGCAGAGGAATATACAATAGAAGGGGTGCGAGCGACAGGAAAAGAGAGGAGGGGAAATTAAAAAGACGTGAGCGGGAAGAGAAAAAGAGCGGGCAGATGTGGAGTATTTATGTCGAGAGATGCCGGAGACAGCCGACAGATGAAAAAAAAACCAATTAATGCAGACAGTGACGGCGTCTCGGGTCTGCGCAACCCGGGGGTGTGCTGCAAACTCTGAATGACAGGTGCCTTTTCCCGCCCACTTTCGGAAACCAAGCGCGAACCAACATACCCGAGAACGCTGCGCAAGATGAAAGGACAAAGACAGCACCCGGCAATGAAGGGTATGCGACTGTGAAACCCCGGCAAGGGCCAGGTGAGGAACAACAATCAATAGTGCCGAAAAGGAAAGAGAGCGCATATTCGGGCAGGCGGATCCTTTTCCGTTCGCTTTGCTTTCTGCAAAAAAAATGGTCGGGGCAGGGTGGATTAGCATACTCGCCTGCCTCCGTTTTGCCAGTGTCGCTCAGCAGGCGGTAATTTCGGCAGTAAGGTGTGCGTTCTTTTCGGCAAATGTGGGCAATAAAGAGGGAGGCGAGAATAAGGCTAGAGCCGCAGGTGGAGATGTGTGCGTGGCGCTGGCCACATTTTTTGGCCATTAACGCGCCCCGGCCCGCTTGTCATCGGCAGTCAATGCCCAATTGACCAGAAAATGGCTGGATATATGCCTGGATAAATAGCTCCCAAGCACCGTGATGTATGTGTGCCCGGCGGGGCTAGTCAAACAGTGGCGTTCAAATGAACAGGTGGAAAGGGTGGTGCAGAAAAGGAGGTGAGGGGCACAGCGGTGGCACACATGTGAACCACGCCAAATAGCGAGCGAGGCGGACAGGCTCATCACCCGGGGAAACCCGCAATGGCACTCGCACAGCACCACAATCGTAGGGATAGAGGGAGGGAGGGAGGAGGGGGAAGGGGTAGTGGGCATACATGCGCAAAGTGGGCAAGGCGCACAAGCAGCCCATCAGCCGCTCATGCCACCACACATGCAGAGGAACAAAATTCGAGGCAGAAAATGGGGGAGTGGTGCATATTTGTGGAGTCGATGCAGGTGCTTCACAGAAAGTGGAGAGGAGGGACAGGGGGACGGACATGATGCTTACCTATGCCAGGAAACTACGGGGGAAGAGAGTTGCACGCGAAAGGGAGGGAATTGGGTTAAATTAGAAGCAGCAGGGGTGGATGCGGGAATGAGTGATCCACAGGGAAGGGTTGTAAATAATAAAGAAGGATATACAGTGGTGATGTGCAGAATTGGACCAAAGATTATATAAAATAGTGGAGGGCGCTTAGGCAGCTCGAGTGTGCTGTGAGTGAATCGAGGGGGGAGGAGGAGAGGGAAAAAGTAGTGACCATCTCACGTCAAGAGGTGCTCCAGATGGCGTGAAATATAAAATAAAACAGGCGCCCGGGCTCAAAAAGACAGCTTATATTACCGCCCAGAACAGTAGAACCCCGAGTGATTTTTCCACAGCGAATAAAGTGAAACTCATACGGGGAGGGGTGGGTCGGTGGTGCGGGTACAGCCGGGAACGCAACCCGGTCCCCTGGCTGAGCGGGGAGAATGAGCACACCCACCCACCCCTCCCTCGTGACCAATTGTACAGGCAACAGCCAAGGCAAAAGGTGGACGCAGTAAAGCTGAACAAGTGCAATTCCATGCAAGCGGCGCATTGTGTCGGCAAATGTAGGCCTCGAAAAGAACGATGTTGGCCTGTTTAGGTTACGACCCTTCAGTTGTCTGCGGGTGAAATTGTTGGTGTGCAAAATTGCACCAGCGCAGGCGTCATTGACACCAGCCGTCCCCTCCCCGCCGGCCGTGCACAGCAGGGCACAGGCCGATTGCATCTGCAAAAGCGACATATCAGGGAAACGGTGCAGATCACACGCGCGGCTGGGTGTGTCCATATACCGAGCTTCTGCGTGTGACATTCTTGTTCGCACCACCGAGCACACCCGCATGCTGTGCGCTTCTCTTCCCTTGTTGCATGGCCTGAGCCTGCTCCTCCTCACCCCGCGCCATGCGTCGTAAATGAGCGTACGCAGCACGCTGGGCAGTACCCGTGCCCACCGAAAAATTTCTTTCTCGACAATGGCGCCCTGTGGGAATCGAGAATTTCGCAAGCCATCGGCAATCAGCCGGGAAAAACGACAGCCTTCAACACTCACGCCCGAAGCCTGCGTTTGTTGTCTCTGGAGCTCGAAGAGACAACATGTACGTGTTCCGATTGTCCTCCTGTAGAGCGGAGCGACTCGGGTCTTTTCCAGCCCAGGCTCGCACACACAAAAACATGCTCCGAGGACAACCGGGCCATGGTTCAGTGTTGTGTACCTTATTGTGCCTACTGGTCTTCGGCGTGTATTGCGCAGGTGCGCCTTACATCATTTGGCCGACCCGCACATCCATGACGGCCCCACGGTTCTATGATTGGAGACGGCTTTTTAGTGCTGAAATGAACTCTGGTCCATTTCCGCGACATTCAGGTCTTTCACGTGCGATGCATGAAGAGCGCAGGTCGATGCAGCTGGCAGAGGCGAGCTCCCCCTATCTGACGAGACAAGCATGCGGGATGCACGCCGCTTTCTCGCCTTTGTCTCTTTCATTTCGCACTCCTCTCCCGCCTATTTCGCACTCTTGTTGCGGCTCACTCGCACTCTCGGCATCTGCAGAACAAGCAACAGAAGGAAAACATGTTTCGGGTACATGCAGCACGTCGAACGTCAGTGGCTTTTGCCAGCAGTATGCGAGCGGTGCCTCGGCGCCCAATGGGCACGAAACCGGTTTACGTAACGTTCAGCCAGCTCGCCAACAACCAGGCCCTGGCTACAATCACCATGAACAGCCCAAAGGCCAACACGTTCGACTATTCGTCGTTTGTGGCCCTGAGCGACGCCCTGGCTGAGGTCGAAGCCGCCCCGAACGTGCGCGGCCTCGTTCTGCAGTCCGGCCTGGACAATATCTTTTCGGCTGGGTTCAATTTCCCAATATTCCACAATATCTCTCGTGACGAGTTCCTGCGCCTCTGGGTGCTGGGCAAGCAAATCTACCGCCGCATCCACGCCATGCCGGTGCCATCGATCGCAGCCGTAAACGGACACGCCCTGGGCATGGGATGTGTGTTTGCGCTTGCCTTCCAGAGCCGCTTCATGGTGGCGGGCAGATCGACGATCGGGCTCAAAGAGGTGGCAGTCGGGATGTCGGTGCCAGAGTGGCTTGCGGCGCGGTACCGCGATCTGACCAGCCCACGCACTGGCCGAAAAGATGCTCCCGCTGGGCCGCACCCTAACTGCACAGCAGGCAAAGGAGGCGGGCTGGTTGACGAGGTGTTCGAGACGAAAGAGCAGATGCAGACAGCCATTGTGAGCCACATCGAGGCTGCTGCCAAGTTCCAGCCGCAGGCCCAGGCCGACACCTACCGCAGCCTGCGCCGCGCGCACCTGAAGCTGTTCGATGAGAGCTTTGAGGCTGACAACGCCTGGTGCTGGGCCATGGTCAATAACCCGGCCACCCAGCAGGGGCTGGCGGAGGCGCTCAGTCGCCTAAAGTCCAAGCCAAAGAAGTAATCGCCACTCTGGCAGGGTTTTTGCTACTGCCGCCCAGGCATCAATTAGCCAGAGTTTCCCGCTGCTGCCAGCAGCCAGTGAAAATGCCAATAGATAACCGAGCCTCCCTTTACTACTGCCCAGGTGCAGTTTTGCCTCCTCCCGCAAAAAATATCATTCCGTACTCAGAAACGAACAACGATATGGCCCGACGCCAGCAGTAAGCCGAGATAGCTCTCAATGTAACGATGCGTCAGTCGTAACGGCTTGCCAGTAATAATTGCCCCTCCAGCCGTAGTCACACGCATGCAGAGAATTCCAACCGCCCGGTCTGCGGGGGCCGTAATAACAACGTGCGTGCGCAAAGCCCAATTCACCGCCATCCAATTTAACTGCCAGCTTTGAGCAAACACCACAAGCGCTGCCTGTGGAAAGGGGATAAAATCGCATTGGATGAAAGAGAATTTAGCTACTAGAGCTCGACGCGCAGAGGGGTCTCGGTCTCCCCATCCATATCCAGCACACCCGACTCGGCGATAACGATGTCCTCCTTGGGCTTGTCGCCCGGCCCAGTGGCAGTGCCTTCGATCTTGCGCACAACCTCCAGGCCCTCAAGCACCTTGCCGAACACGACGTGGCGTCCGTCCAGCCAGCTCGTGGTCACGGTGGTGATAAAGAACTGCGAGCCGTTGGTGTCCGGTCCAGCATTAGCCATCGACAGAATACCGGGGCCGGTATGGCGCAGCTTGAAGTTCTCGTCCTTGAACTTGGCGCCGTAGATCGACTTGCCGCCGGTGCCGTCGCCGCGTGTGAAATCGCCGCCCTGGATCATAAAGTCCTTGATGACGCGGTGGAACTTGCTGCCCTTGTAGCCAAAGCCCTTCTCGCCGGTTGCCAGAGCACGGAAGTTCTCGGCTGTCTTGGGCACGGTCTTACCGAACAGGCCAATGACAACGCGGCCCAGGCTCTCGTCGCCCTGCTTGATGTCAAAGTACACCTTATCTGTGACAACCGGGCCACGCGCCGCCTCGACCAGACGCGCACTGAGCGTCATAAAAATAAGCACAACGTAGAAAAGCCCGGAGGCACGCAAAAAACCGACAGGAACCTTCATGGTAAAAGTAAAAGAGAGGAGAAAACTTAGTAAAGAAAAGGAGAAAGAGCTGGGGTACCGCAAGCGGCCAGCTCCAACCAATTTATAAGCAGTCTGACCGTGCTGCTCTCCACGTCACCACAGGTGATTGGCCCGACAGGTCGGCCACCTGACGGTCCCTGCTGGCTCACCCACTCACTAGCATATATTGCGTGTGTGAATCCTTCCACAGGTTCGATTCTGGCGACTTGGTTCTGGGGGAGAACATGGACACAGATATGGACCAAATGGCCATATTGCTAGAATTACCCGCTCGCGATGCGAGCTCGGGTGCTAGTCAGCATGGGTTGACACGTCGATAAATGCATCACGGTGAACCGGTCATTTGAACGTGTCGGATGGTTGTTGGTGCAATGGCGATCATGGACATCTCACATCTTGTTGGCCTGCCCAGCGCGGGAGTTTCTGCATTGGTTCGCCACTGCTGGCAGCAGAATCGCCTGCTGCTGCACGCCTCTTGCGCGGCCTCTTTGTTGCCGGAGTGGTGCCGGAAGCATCGGCAGCAATGGCCGTAGAACGACGGAACAATTCAGAAATATCGCCTGAATCACAGAGTGACTGGAAAATGTGTCTGAAGTTTAGAACTGCTGCGAGATCGCGGTTCAAGAGCCGAGAAGAATAGGCCCGCCTGTATTGTGCCATGGCCCGCTTACATAACTCGCTTGTACAGCAAAGAAGGCCATGGCACTTGATAGTCGGACTCGCCGATCTCTGATAGGGGCGTGAGCTGGGAACATGTCGGAATGTCTGCAGCGACTTTTTGCAGCAGAACGGGCACATCGACGATGTCCGGAATTCGTCGACCAGATAAATCTCAAAGCCATGGTGCTTGAACTTGTTGCGCCATCCCTTGCCACGAATCGGCGCATGGTGTCGGGCCATCAGTGCACCCCAATTGCTCATGATTAGTGCTAGTTCTGGGTTCGATTTTTCGAGTGTTATGAAGATATCCTTACTTAGGTTGATATCGGCCATAGGCTGTGAAGCCCCATGGGAGATTTCTTGTCACATTATCGACTGTCTAAAGCATAGACTAGCCAAGCTCGCATCGCGAGCGCCATAAGCCTAGTATATCTGGCACCACAAGATCTGAATCCATCGGCTCAATGGGAGAATAATGGCTTTTAGGTGTTCACAGAACGAGTCATGCATACTCGCTGTGTGGCCCAAACGAGCCTGGATCTGTCCAATCAATAAAAAAACGTTCTAGCGGACGGTCAGATGCATTTGGGATATAAACATTAAATAGCTTCATTTCTTTAACAAAAACCCTCATAAAAATCCCCCAGTACTACATGTCGATATCATGTATCGCAACAGCGTAAAGAAAGTATATTTACACTGGCATGGCTACTTTACCTATATGCACAAGAACAAATACAAAAGTCAGTACCGTTATCATCACTATCCAAGATGAGCATTGGGCAATGTGTGTGCTCAGACAAGTTTTATAGGTAGCAGGAGATTGTCGTCATTACCCCGCCCCGCCTCAGAAAGAGGTGTGGAGCCGGGTAAATAAAGTCAAATGCCTG